TTTTACCTTCATGCATAGATAGCGCTGTACAACTACTTTAAGTGCAGACAAAAAAAAATTGTGTCACAAATGATATAACATTCTTTGGGGGGGGGGGGGTTACAATGTTGCATGACCAAGTAATTGTCAAAGTATTGCAAAAATGATGGTAATGGTATTACCAGGCTGGTACTAAAGTGGCTAAAGCAGATCTTTCTCCCTCTTTCCCCCCCCCCAAATGTTTTCTAAACCCCTTCTTACAGTGTGGTGTTGTCTTCAAAGTTCATATACTCACCCATGCAGTGTTGTCCTGCATAATTCTATTCTCTTCTGCCACTGATTGGGTCTCGTGCTGCCATATTCTTTGTGACATATTTGGGAGGCTGCTCTTCATGCATGATATGCATATCCCAGGAGGCACAGGGAGCACAATGCATGTCATTCACCTAGACGAGGGACTTACATGGGGGGGATATGGGATATCCCATAGTAAAAAAAAAAAAAAAAAAAAAAAAAATACATGTATATTTGTGTAGAAGAGGGGTGGAGAGGAGACAAGCTCAATTTGAGGGTGAAGATCCTCTTTAATGAAGACTGTATTGAATATGTAATTTTAAATTTTAAGTACCAGGTATACATTTGTTGGTTATTTTTCATTCTTGCCAACTTTAACATGATTGTGCAACTCTTATGATTACTTTAAACTGTTGTAGACACCTTGATCTAGTATAATATTCTTTTGTTCCCCTGACATATAGAGAATCTAGAACCATGAAGGCTCCCTCAGATCTTTCAATATTATTTTCAATGGCACTCCAACACACTAAAGCAAACGCACCTCCAGCACTCATGCGCTGCAGGACACCAAAACACACAGTAATGCACTAGAATGTTAATTATGGTGCGCTTTGTTGGAAAAAATGGCACACATCTGATTTTCGGGCCGCTCTGATGTGTTGGTAGTCCATTCAGTTGAATGGGTATCCTTAAGGAAAGCACATTAGTGTGTGATATACCGGTTGGTAAATGCTGTGCAACAGACCAGAAAGATCTGAATGGGCCCTTAAGGTTTTTTAGGTAAACGTGTGAAAAAAACATAGGCTGGATTTAAATCTTATCAAATTGTAATACTGCAAAATTACTTGTCGGGGGAATTGGTCAAAAAAAATGGCAGCATATAATAAACATGGACAGACTGCATTAGGAAAGTAGAAAAAATTTTCTGAAGGGGACAGACCTTCGATATAAAAGTTGGTAAATGCCACAAAATTATAGCCTTTAAAAGTACAAGAAAATGGAATCGGCACGTCTGTAAACCAGTTTTAGCGAAATCTGTATGTTGATCACTTCATAAAGCTGGAATGTTTGGCATAGCTCCCCTTTTTGAAAGCCTCTTGTAGCCAAGGTTGGCACAAATGATACAAAGCATAAATAAGGAGCATAATTCAGACCTCTGAACAATGAAAGTTACATTTTATTTTAATAATCTCTCAACAGGTTTGATATGTATTTCAAGACAAAACTGGCAAAGCTAATTAGTGAATCTATCTTAATACATACAGATTTTCCATGGATTGTTTTTTTAAACACAATGCAAATACATAAAAATCCCTATTAACCTGTAAGAAATCAATTGAACTTGTAACTTCCTGTGTCCCATCTTTTAGCTGCACTAAAATCCTTAGCAATGTACAATTAAAGGAAAAAAGCCTGGAAAAAAAAGAAAGCTATCACATCTAAGCACTGTACTAATTATTTGCTTTAGGTTTGCACTATCATAAACACATTTTGAACAGCAGTGAAGGCATTTCAAAACAAGCACTTATTCACTTCTGTAGCTATAATCATTGTGAAGGAATTAATTTTCAAAGCTCAAAACAGAGGCAATGAAGTCTGAGCTTATTTCTGTGAGAGTAGATTTTGGCATTTTGTCAGCCCTTTAATTTAGACCAGCGCCAGGTTTTTCTAGAGGTCACCATACACTATATAAGCTAATTTGACGGTTTCCTTTAGGCTCCATTCACACTTGTTCAACTCCAAGGTCGTGCAGTTTCCTTTGCGACTTTACATTGTGACACTGATGATGGGTGCAAATTGGATGCTACTTTGGCTTTGACAGTTGCACAACTGTCGCATTTATTAACATTAAGATGCAACTTTCATACAACTTGTAACAGTTTACATTGCAGTCAGTGGCACAAAAGTCGCATCAAAGTAATGCAGAACCTTTTTAAAGTCGCTGCAACTTTAAGTTGCATAGATTTGAACATCTTCCATTGAAATTCATGATCATCGACTTATCATGTGTCTTAAGTGTTCAAAGTCACATGCCTTAATATGACAAATTTTTTTAATTTCTTAATTTTCCAAAGAACTGTTGGAATAAATTACAACTTCAGAAAACTCTCCATGCTCTTACTAAATACCTTGAACTGTCTACTTTCCAAAAAGGGGTCATTTGGGGGTATTTGTACTGTCCTGGCATTTTCGGGCCTCAAGAAATAGACAGTCAGTACATCAGGATTGATCAATGATACGTAGCATAGCTGCAGCCACCGGGATTGTGTGCAAGTCTGACAAGTTGTCTCCTGGCTGTCAGATGCAAGAACTCCATCACTTCCATGTTCTCCTCTCCGTTTTCCTGGCCATCATGATCAGTGATCTGTACTGCATTAGATTTAGTGGAGCACAGGGGAGACATCCGAGGTGTTTTAGACCCCTGATGTCTCATTAAAGGGAACCTGTCACCAAAAATCATCACATATAGAATTTTGTCCCCTATGTGTTGAAAAGAAAAATTTAAGTAAACATGATTTTGTAAACAATTAAAGTTACACCCCACCACATAAAATCCCCCCCCCCCCCCCAATTTTTTTTCTTCTTCTTAGAGGCCCTCCACCCCCATTTATACACACGTAAGAATGTAAACATATTTGTCGGGTGCCTACGCATGAAAACATTCATAACAATACACATGCTGTATGTCGCCATGCACGCCAGATTGAGAGCAATAATTCTAGCACCAGACCTCCTCTGTAATGCTAAACTGATGACTTGTAGGGGCTTTTAAAGTGTGACATTTGGAAAATATAGGGCATTAAAATTTGTTGCCATTTCACTGGCACATGCAATTTTAAGGTTTGACATGTTGGATACTATTTACTCGGTCCAACCTCATCTTTAATATTTTACCAAAAAGCCTGGGTAATTTATTGTGTTTTTGTACTCCCAAATTAACTTTCCTGTATTTTTTTTTTCAACTTAAATTTTGCGTTTCCTAGACCTTTGCGGTAATATCGTGTGATATAAAAAACTATTGCGTTCTTTCTGCTATCTACTTTCAGAAAATATATAATGTTTTCGAGGTTTGTGCAATCTTAAGACCTAAAATAATTTTTTAAACATCTTAGATTGTAAATATAATTGTGCAAAACCCCCCGCACCCCCCCCCCCCCAAAAAATGGCTGTGGCAATGAAAGGATTAAAGCCTACTTGGACACTGTGTACTACCTACCTTTTAAAGGTGTGTGGCTTCTCCAGGGCTGTGTGATGCAGTACCCAGCTCCCACCCCCACCATCTCCGCTTCCAGTACTTGGGTTCCTAGGCATCTTCTTTGGCTGTTGGGCTGCTACTGATAACTCCTTCGTATGTACATGGGTTAAATCGTCACCGGCATCTGGCCTTTTCCTAGAATCTTACAGATGTCAGGAATATGCTGAGTGTACACAGCATAGAAAATTAAAAATTGAATTGCTAGGTAGTAGTAATATTTGGCAGAAGAGATATGCAAATTTCATCTACTTTTTCTACTTATTTTTTTTCATGCTGCTTTATGAATATATAAATAGTTTAACGTCCATAGTCTGGGCACAGGGGCATTTTAAGTTTGGAGAAATGTTTATTAAAGCAGCACTTAAAGTAGAACTATAGGCAAATTAGTTTTTTCATTTTGGATAGAGCAAGGGAGGGTTATAACCTCCGTCAGGTTTTTTTTTTTTTTTGTTGCTATCTGTGCAGAGATTTCCCTTCACTTCCTGTCCCATAGCCAAACAGAAAGTGAAAGGAAATCTCTGCAAATTAAGGGAATTCCTTGGGGTCCCCCAGGTCACCAGATCTAGTGCCCCCATTGAAAGATGTCCCCACTGTTACTCTTTTGGGGACAACCCAAAATTTGAGGATTTTATTTTACTTTCAGTGTTAATAGTAAACAGGACATATAGAGAGTATGAATCTCCCTAATAGGGGCACAGACAGCAATAAAAACTGAAATCCCTCTCCACTGTATCCAAAATGGAAAAAAAGATTTGCCTGTAATTATACTTTAATTGTATCTGAGCACCACAAAATTAAAACTCTGTTTAGTATTTTTTTTTTCAATATTCAAAGCAAACTCACTCATTCATCTCACTTTGAAAATCATCCCCTAGCATTTCTAGCCACGGCCATTTTGAGTAAGGGCAGGTGATACAATGTAACCTCTACTTCCTGGAATTTATTTGCCCTTAGTTTAGGCATGCAAGCAGGAGGGTGAGAAAGCCCCTCCTCACCTCTTCCAGATGAAAGAAAGCCATGCCCATGAAGACTTCTGGGATAACATTTTGGCCTAGGCCTGGAAACCTGGAGGAAACTGAAACGTAAATAAATAAAAACATGTAATATAGGACACTTTCCTATCTATTTACTAATGCTTGTAGCATAAAGATGTAAAATAGTTCACGTTGATAGAGTAAAGTTCCGATTTAAAGGACAACAGGTACTGTTGTTGGTGCTCATCATGTATGTTGCGCAGTACACAGGGTAAAGTAACCAGGGAAACCACTTCATTTGCACCTTTTTTTCTAAACTCAGAAGTTGACCAAACAGTGATATCCATTACATAATTATGCAGTACTGTGAAAACATTTTGGGCAGGTGCGAAAAAAATGCTGCACATTAGGAATGCTAATTTACACCGATCTGGTGCCCGCTGTATCCGGAGCACTGATCACTGTACGAGACTTCTGTGCGAGGTCCCGATCATGTGATCACTGATTGGCCAATCAGTGATCACATGAATAGTAGTAAGCAAGATGTCACTTCTGACATCATTGCTTACTACTAGTGAAATCTGTGAATGATCACAGAAATCACATGATACAAGGCTATTCACAACAGCCTTGTACCATGTGACAAGCTGTGAACAATCACAGCTCTTGCAGTATTTCTCAATGGCTGCAAGAATGCAGCCAGAGAGAAGGAGAAATTATTGCTTTTACTGCCTTTATGAGTGTAAAAGAGAAAAAAAAAAATCTTAATCACCCCCCCACACGTAGTACAGTATCACTGTACTGTGGTGACACTGTACTGCTAGAGTGACAGTATGTTTAAAAAAAACCAAACATAAATATAAAAAAAAATTACAATGTAAAAAAAAAATTGAAAAATTTAATAATTTTTGGCTATGAACTAATTTGGGTTATTTATTTTTTTTACTAAAGAGATAGCTTAATACATTTTGGCAAAGATTTATGAAGAAAGGTTTGCAAAATTTTATAAGAAAAACACTTTTTTTCAAAATGTTTGAACTTTTTCATTTATATAGCAAAAAAAATAAAAATCCAGTGGTGAATAAATACCACCAAAATAAAGTTTTATCTGTCTCAAACAAAAAAATGCTAAAAAAAGTCATATGGGTACAGTGTTGCATGACCGTGCAATTGTCATTCAAAGTGTGATGGCACTGAAAGCTGAAAATTGGCCTGGACAGGAAGGGGGTGAAAGTGTCTGGACTTGAAGTGGTTAAGGTTTACTACCGCTTTAAATGAATTGGCCTAAAACTTGAATACGCCTGCAATACACAACTAAAAATGCCTGTATACACTTTTAAAAATGGTCAAAACGGCTCTTAAAAATTGCTCTGCTCAGGTGTGAATGCAACCTAAAGGTGTAAAGCTGATAGGGTGCAAGAAGCCTCCAGTGTGCTTCTGTTTTTATACAATAGAGGCTAAGAATATAGGAAGGATGTGTAATGAAGGGATCATCTCACCCGTTACTGTGGATACTGGGGGGGAGGTTTGTGTGCTGCTGGGGGGTGAGCTCTCAGTGGACTGGAGTCAGAATTTTTTCCATGTAAAATTCTTAACTTTAATATTATATAGTATACTATAATACATTATATTACACTAACATGTCATGTGACTTTTTTTGCCCCCTAGGTACATGTACTGGACGGATTGGGGAGAAGCTCCCAGGATTGAACGTGCTGGAATGGATGGCAGTACACGCAAAATCATAGTAGATTCTGAAATTTATTGGCCCAATGGGCTAACTATTGATCTAGATGAACAAAAACTTTACTGGGCAGATGCCAAGCTGAGCTTTATTCACCGAGCCAATTTGGATGGTTCTTTTAGGTAAACACTTTGCAAAAATCTTTTTGTACCTGAGCCAGTGCTGCTAAATTGGTAACCAGGAGCTGTTTTGTAGTCTGCATTCTTTCCCTGGAGGTCCTTATGTGCATGGGAAAAAAAAATTGCTTAAAAATAGCTTCGCTTCATACATGTACATAGTTATGAGTCGGGAATCTGCAACAACCATGCAAATTACAGTGCTTTTGCCAAGCAGAATGCTAAATGCAGTAAACATTATGAATTTTCCAATGGAGTGCTTACCACAATTTAAAGCTCACCCACGTCTGACATGCAGGGAACATAGCCTTCTTGAATGGGAGAAAGCTTGCTCAAGTATTTGAAATTATATATAATTGTTCATTTCAGTGGGCACAGCCAAACCATGACATGTAAAGAAATGTATGGCCTTCTTACCATAGACTGAGTAAATGGTTTTTCCAGCAATGATAAAAGCTGGCATACTATAGTATTACTGTGAAATAGTTAACTGTCTGGAAGGGGTATCACTGCACCCAGTCAAGCTATGACCTTTTTCCAGCTCAACTGTTTAGCCTTCTTAAGTGTGGAATTTCACAGGAATTTTCCCATTATTTCTGGAAACCTTGCTCTGCTGTCAGTAAACAAGACAAAATTTACACTTAGGTTTAAAAAAGGTCAAAGCTTGACAGAGAACACTTTGTTGAAATAATATATTCAATGAGTATTACCTATTGAAAAATTACTTTAAACAGACAAGTCTGTAATATAATTTGTTTAAGGCAACTTTTTTTTCCTTTATATTTGCCTTCGGGGAGGCTTAATATGATACCACTTCTTACAATACTTTCTTAGATACTTGTAAGGTGTTCTCCTGGGGCATGCTCAAATCTGCTATCTCCTTTATTAAAGAACCCTTCACAAGCTAACAAGGTCTCCTTTATTAAAGAACCCTTCACAAGCTAACAAGGATCCTGTCAAGGACTGCAAAGAAGCTAAATCCCTCTTCATAGCAAATCCCACCCCTGAGCAACAAAAACCTTCTACCTCCATTTTTAAAATTGTAGTGCAATGGGCTCTGTTTTTACTGATGTGGATCGTATATTAAATAGCCTTTGTGTATTCCATAGACATACACATGCCTCTGCTCTTGCTAGAACCAAAGATGATATATATGCCTATTTAGGGCCCTACCTTTTCCTCAGTTGACTACAAACTAAGTGCAGATACCGGATAAAGAAATCGGAGACTAAGCTTAAACAAGCAGTCTTGGTCCTAGCTGCTTGTTAAGGCTTCAGGCCCAGAATAAAAAAATATATTTGGATTTAATTTCACCTGTCTTAGATAATGGAGGTGACCCATTTGTTAAAGTCTCCTTGTATAGCCACTCTAAGTACAATGCTACAATTGTACTCTTGTAGAAGGCTCATTAAGACCTTCCTACAGACCCATCTACTTATTGAATCTTGACTACAAAATACTAATAATCCTGGGCAACAGATTTAATCTTGTTTTACTTTATCTTGCTTATGATGGCCAAACGGGCTTTATACCTGAAAAGTCAACCACAAATAATAACCATAGGGCTGAAAATTGTGTCTCAGATGTCAGGTTATATTATAAACATGTTCTTTGGCCTCTCTAGACATGGCTAAAGCCTCTGACTATATAGAATATCCCTTTTTACATGTCTGCCTTTACTGCTTTGGTCTGAGTGCAAATTTTTTTCAGTGGATTAAAGCCCATCTCCAGGCAAAAAAAATAAAAATTTCCCTTGCAGCGGAGCTGTGCCCGCACTGCACGGATTAACTGCTTGTTTTTTCTCTTGGGGAGAGGAGAAAGGAGATATACTTGCCTAATCCTCCCAGCACCAAGCCTGTCCAGTACCCCTGTGCTCCAGCGGTCTTCAGTTGTGGACTGTTCCTGACGTTATCAAGCCCAGGCTCCATAGACCAGGAAGAGACCACTGCTTGACCATGGCGAGTGCCATTTTCCAGTGGAACGAAGGATTGGGTGAGTATAAGCTTTCTCCCCGCTCCTAGACAAAACGAGCAGTTGACTTGTGCAGTGTTTTTTTTTGTCTGGAGTTGGGCTTTATTGTACTTTACTGCCTACCCACAATCTAATATTTTGATTATTGACCCCATCTTGCAATCCTTCAAGAAAATATTGGTCAATTAAAGCAAAATAATAAATGTGATCTGCAAGTATTGTTTAAGCTACATGTCTCTGCTGTAGGTAGAATTATGTTGGTTAAATGAAACTACGTTACAAAAACCCAAAGAGTAAGTTGGATTGGCCTTGCTGGCTGGTTTTATATTAGCCATTGGCTCCTGCTGCTACTAATTACAACCAGTGAGGAGGGATCAGGAAACTCAGAGCTGGCTTGGGAGCAAGCCTACAGCAGCTTGCTATGGGGGCACTCGGCAGAGGGGAGGAGCCAGGAGTGCCGCCGGGGGACCCAAGATGAGGAGGATCAGGGCTGCTGCTTTGTGCAAAACCATTCCACGGAGCAGGTAAGTAAAACATGTTTGTTATTGTTAAAAAAAATAAGGTTTATAATCATCTTAATCAATTTAGATCATACGTTACAAAAATATGTATAGGAAGAGAAACTGTCCGTTTTAGAATCCATAAAATATGGGACCTATGGTGTAACTCTACTCTCCCTCTAAGCTCGTGACTTCTAACCATGGTCCAAACATTACAGCTGCTACAACCAGTGTAGGATTACATCTTTGTATTAGATCATATATAATACATGTGAAAAGTTTAGCCCACACTTTAAGAAACTGGCATGTTTCAGCTGTAATAGATATTTGATAGAATGGAGATCAGAGCTCATCAAAGGCCACATTGGAATAGTCTAATATTTTGCTCTTAGCCACACATGGGTGCTTTTAGCGATTTGTGTTTTGGGTTTTCCAATGTTTGAGTTTTGATACACTAGAACAGTGTTTCTCAACCTTTTTTCAGTCAAGGCACCCTTTAAAACTATGAACAGTCGCAAGGCACCCTTTAAAATTATGAGGCACCCCATTTTAAAATGTGAAAAACTTTTCTAATAGTTTATATAATGCAGCAACATCCACACATGTAGGACACCCAACGTTAGAGGTGATTTATTCTTTTAAAGCAAATACACTTTTGCACACTGGTACTGACTTATTCCAGTGTTTCTCTTCTCCCTCATTTTTTCTCCATCACTGAGCTAATGTGACCCCAGCACTGATGGAGAGGGGCAGGGGAGGGGCAAACTAGGATGCTGTGCAGGCAACAGACAACCTCCTTATCAACTGATGATGTAAGTGGTGTCAGGACGCTGGCGGCTAGAAGGTCGTAATGATGCACAATGAAAACCTGTGGGTGTATGTAACTAAAAGGCAGGCTTGTTCCACCCGCTGGCTTGTAAACAAGTTTTGGGCAATTTTTAGACATTTTGTTAAGGCACCCCTGAAGAAACCTCAAGGCACCCCAGGGTGCCTGGGCACCCTGGTTGAGAGAGGCTGCACTAAAAGCATGTTTTGCTCCAGATTCCTTTATAATACTGAGATTTCATTGTGCTGTGCAGACTCAAGGCACCCCATGCCAGATGCAGGAAAGTAACCCCAAACATAACTGATCTGCCTCTGTTTCACAGTAAGGTACTGTGTTCCTTTCTTTAAAAACGATATTTACTCATCTGTTTACTTAGAGCCAATATGACTTGCAAAAAAACAGATCCAGTTTTGTCTCATCAGTCCAAAGAACATTCTCCCAAAAGCATTGTTGCTTGGCAGTATGCATTTTAGCAAGTTCCAGTATGGCATTT